ATTCTTATTATACAAATAGATTCGAGTAAAGCTAGAAATTTAGATATATCTATTGATTTGCAAAAGATTTATTACCAACCTTCGGGCTATTAAAGGACTGCGAAAAAATTGCATGAAGCTTCTCTAAAAGCTGGATTTGATTTTATCTTAAATGAAGTGTATGATTGGCTTAAAAGACAAGCTGTATATCAGGTTCATAAACCTTATCTTAGAAATATTCTGAATGCATCTTTCATTAATATTACTATACCTATGGAAGTTATTAAAGCTGACTTATACTATATGCCTTATGATCAAATTGGAAATAAAATTTATAAATTTGCACTTAATTGTATAGATATTGCTACTCATGCAAAATGGTCCTATCCTTTAATTATACGTGATTCAACTAGTATTGCTATACGCTTTAAAAAACTTTTAAACTCCTAAAAATGTCCGCTTACTTGGTTTAAAAAATATCTTATGGTAGATGGAGGTGTTGAATTTCAGGGTGATGTTATTAGATTAATAAATAAATATGGTGTTAATATTCGAATAGCTAATTCTAAAAAAAGTATAGGCATTGTTGAAAGGTTTAATAAGACATTACAAGAATGGTCATCTATTATTCAAGATGCTGTTGATATGAGATTACCTATATCAGAACGTTGTCGAGCTTGGGTTAGAAACCTTCCAATTTTTCTTGAGAATCTTGATAATTCTGTGACTCGTCTTCTAGGTATTTCTCTTGCTAATGCACGAAAATTAAAACATGTTTATGCTAAATCTTTTAAGCCTTGAAATAGGCCTATAGGGTTTGATGAGAAGTGATTAACTTATGATGTTCTTGTAAGATATTTATTTAAACCAGATGAGTTAAAAGGTGGAAGAAGACGTGTTGGAGATATGATTTAGTCTCCTCAAGTCTATCATATCCATGAATCTTTAGTGCAAAAAAATCAGCCGGTCTTATACTGGTTGGAAGATGATAAAGGCAATAGTCTGAAAAGATCCTTTGTGAGAGAAAGATTAATGGTTATTAAAGAAGTTCAGCTATTACCTCAATGAGTGCTTAGTAATTAAGAAAGTCTTCAAGTTCTTTATTAACTTGTTCTTCAGTATTGAAATAATCTTTGGCTAATTTATAGTAAAATTTATATAGATCTATTACTACATTAAGAATTTTTGGATCTTTTCCATACCAAGATTTATAGTCTACAATATTTATCCTTATCTGGAAACAATCTTTTTGCATTTTCTAGGATATATACATCAGCGTCTTCTGCTTGACGTAATTTTTTTACCCGCTCTTTATAGCTTTGTATGAATTTGCTATTCTTTGGCTTTCTATAATATATTCCTGCTTTGACTATATTTATTAATGCCTGCTCGACTTCCTGGGAAGTGGGCTTTATTTCGGGTAATTGAATTTGTGTACTCATTATGTAAGTATATGTATTACTATATTATGTAAAGATTTGTTTAATTAAAATTATTTATATATTTAGAAAAAAAAATGAAAGCAGATTTTATTTGTGATTATCTTCATAATTCTGGTAAGACTTGTGATAAATTTTGTACTCGATTTGCTAGTTGTCGATTGCACTACAAAGCTAAAAAACACTGGTCTTACTCTGAATGTGATAAGTCTACTTGGACAGCTTGTGGACGATATTGCCTACATGTTAGAGGTCATTATCAGATCCAATATATAAATAAGCTTCAGAATAAGGCTAGACTAATAGATCAGGTATACTCTAACCTACCTGAATGTGCATAAGTCTAACTCTACCCCAATTTTTTACACCTGAGGTTAGATTTTTTGACCATCGGTTTGTGTAATGCAAATAGCTTCAGAATGATTTCCAGCATATCGAAAAATATTGACATACTATAATACACTAAACTATATTAATTACTGAATTTTTTTATATATATTAAAATTATATATAAATTATAATTTTAGTTATCAATTAAATATAATTTTTGTGTAATAAATAACCAACAATAAAAATTATGCCAAAATAATTCACGGATTTTATATTTATTATAAAATAAAATTTATATTTTAATAGACTAATATTTAGTGTGTCCGCCTTTAGCGCATTAACACGATTAGATAGGCTTAAAATTAAATGATGTACCATCTCTTTGCTAATTTTTCTCCATTCCTCTTGAACTATATTTATTAATTCCTGTTTACATTTAGGTAAAGGCTTTCTTTTTCTA